AATTCACCAACCTGAAATTAGCATGGTTAGCCCATTTTGGGATGTGTGCTGTTCCTAAAATCTCCATGTCAGCCCTTAGCGCCTCTGACCGCGGGACTCGAGGCTCTCGAGGGACGCGACTCAACCCCGAGTTGGAACGTTCCACTATTGAGCGGCCGCTCATTGCGATGGCAATAGTTGATGTTGGAGGTGCACATGAAAACCTACATAACCTACTGGATGGATACCCCCTGCCAAATAGTAGTCACTTGGCAAAGTTGGGATCATCATCCCAAATGTGGTTGAACATGAAGACCACTAGCCGAAACCACCAACCAAACTATTACAGACTACAAATGCAACATAGTATATTACCCATGGAGATGGCAATACTTAAAGCCGTTTTGATCTTTTCAACTTAACTTTCAAAGGTGTCCCTAGTTGGTCAGAATGCTCCCCATAGGGCAGTACCTCTATGGCTTGGAATCTGTGAAACTCTTTAGCTTGTGTCACCCCCCTGCGCATCACAAAGCAATTTTGGACTCAACAGGGCCACGGCAGAAAACATCGAGCTCATTGATTGAAGTCAAGCATGCCGCAATGTCCAAGCAAAGGTTATCTGATGCAAAGGCCTGTTATGATTCACAGCCGATTGATCGTGAAAAAACAAAAATATATATATATATATATAATAAAACCATACAAATTCGTAAGATATCCTGATCTACCCAGCTCATCCTGATCTGCACAGCTGCACTTTCAAGCGCATTTTGGAAAAGGATTAAGGATGGCCCCCGTTCGTGACACAGAAACATCGCAACCTGAGGCCCAACTGCCCTGACTAAGCCTGAGCCCATGACCAGTACTCGATCCCATCAGATGTTGACTCATCAAGCCTTAGAAAATGTCTCAAATCGGTTGATTCTTGGCAGCATAGGGCCTTGGCTGGGCCCACTTTCTGACAATGTCCTCAAGTAGCATGGCATCAGCAGGACGCCCATTCATTTGGAGATATTATATTATATTATATTATATTATATTATATTATATTATATTATATTATATGTTACAAACAATGTTGCAAACAGCTGCCAGTGTAAACTAGTGTAAACTACACAGGTCAGCATGACTGGAAGTCACTGCTGATGTTCTATCAACTCCGGCCCCAGATACAACACTACCAATGAGTGGCGGACTGCCCGTAGAATCAGAACACACAGGCACAATGGATGATTGACTATGATTCACTAGCTAGCTCCCCAGTCTGCCAGTGGTCGAAGGCACGTCTCTTGATTGGTCTTTGGCAAAAGTGCCTGGAAGGGCGAGGCATAAAGATGAATGGTGGAGCCAGAGTTGTTTGGCCACTCACAAAGAAGTCTCTGACAAACTTTTCTACTCTGGCCATCCCTGACAGAAGGATGTCTGTTGGGTGCACATTTCATGCGGGATCCCAGGTCTGATGCTGGAAACTGTTCACACGGCTGGTTAGTGGTTTCAAGCGGCAATAAATTGCAGGTCACTGCGAGATCAATCCCACCAAGAGAGAACTGAATGTTACAGGAACCAACATCTGAGTTTGAAACCACCAGCCACAGGTGAGCTGTGGCTGCCGCCAACATCACTCGTGATCGGTTACCTTTGGGTTCATGATGACCCTCCGGGGACCAGCAAAAACCAGCGCAACAATCTAAATGTAGTTGCGCTAAACCGGTGCTGGTCATTGCGAACTGGATGTTTTCTATGCACACCTGATCTTTGACACATCCCGTATCAATCTACCGTGAAAGTGGACTGGGCATGACTGGGCACGGTTCTCTCAAAAGGGAGTCACCACGGAACACCAAAAGCGTCATACCACCGATTCAAATAAATTCATTGAGTTCCCTCCGATAAACATCAAAACCGAAGCTCCCCCTTTTGAGATTCATCAGCTTACAGGAGCCTAAAGATAGAACAGTTTTTCCACGATGTAACGGATTGTGGTTACAATTTCTTGGTTTCAAAATTTACTATGTGGAGTTGCTTTATACATTTATATAATTTATATATGTTAAATCTGGATTATCCCTGGGATATGGCACCATGATCGCCAATGTCGGGCAGTGGTGCCCGCTCCCGCCTGAAGGAAAGGAAAAACTTACATGCTTGCACAGGCCACTCAAAAATGGGGGAGACCCTGGCATTCTCCACGGCAACTTTTTCCATTGATTTCCGTTGCCTTCAACCTAATTGATTATTGCATGGACACGCCCTTGAACTTGAGTTCGGTCTGGTGCCTGTCAGAAAACCAAAGCAGTTCGCAAGCAGTTTATGATAACTTTTCAGAAGCTTTACAATGTCAAGTGACCAAGTGACATTCTGCTCGGGTATGCCCCTCCGCAGAGCTTTTCAATCACCGTCAGCCGAGTGCTCTAGGCCAGGCTGCCTGGTCACAAATTATAAAACACCCATGTGTAAAAGACGCGATAAATATTCTATATATAATATCTGCAATGGTAAATAACGATAAATACGTATTGCATCTAAACCAATATATATATATATATATCTCTCTCTCTCTCCCCCCATTGCCAATATACATATATAAAAATACATTTATATGATATATGTTTATGTATCTATGTATTTATATATATGTATATATTACTATTATTATTACTGTTATTATTATTGTTTTTACTATCGTTATTACTATATGAATAATGTGCCAAAGACATGTGACAGGCTTGGCCTGGCCTTCTTCCACACCCATTTCTTGACATGCAGATGCAGACAAGTTTGTGAAAACGATCCTTGGCGTTTGTGGGATGACTTTGAGCCACCCAAACGTTGGCTATGGATCAAAACGTATTGAAGTACCAGATTTTGGGGAATGAACTGGATGAGCCCCCATTTTCCGAGGCCTTCCCATTTTCCCAGCTACTTTGGTGTGAGCAGCAGTGCCACATGTCTAACCCATACCCAAATGAGAGATAATCTTGCTGGACGCGGCTCTCAATTTCAGGTTGGAACTGAGCGGAAAAATCCAAGCTGGAGGCCAAGATTCCCCAGCCAATTGGTCACAAGTGAGGGGATCTCTGCATATGTGACTCTACCATCCATATGTGCATTCAATCACCTGGGGCTTGTCATCCAACATCATCCCACCATGGAGGATTCCAAACATGGCATGTCATGGCACTTATCGAAGGAAGTTTAGAAGTCAAACTTCCGACAATATGGACAGATGAAAAGCAGAGCAGGGCAGAGGCAGAGAGAAGAGAAAGATTAGAAGAGACAAGATCAGAGAAGAGAAAGAGTCAGAAGAAAGAAGATGCAGATGCGCGAAAAGGTAGGAAAGTCGCGAAACATTGTGTTTTTCCAATGATTTGTGGCTTCGGAGGGTCGAAAAGTAGGCTCGCTAAAGCGGCGGGTGCGGAGCCAGCTGGCCAGACGAGAGATGAAAAATTGCACGCCGTTGTGGCGCGAAGCACATGTCGAAGTCAAAATGTACAAAACCCACCACACCATTCTCGGACCACTTTTGGAAGTTGAGATGTCGAAAAAGTGCACGCCGTTGTGGCGCGAAGCACATTTCGAAGTCAAAATGTACAAAGCACACCATTGTCGGACCACTTTTGGAAGTTGCGATGTCGAAAAAGTGCACGCCGTTGTGGCGCGAAGCACATTTCGAAGTCAAAATGTACAAAGCACACCATGTTCGGACCACTTTTGGAAGTTGCGATGTCGAAAAAGTGCACGCCGTTGTGGCGCGAAGCACATTTCGAAGTCAAAATGTACAAAACACAAGGGGTTCGGACCACTTTTGGAGGTTCAGATGTCGCTTCGCTTCGCTTCACTACACTACGCTACATTACACTACACTACACTCCACTACACTTCAATACATTACACTACACTACACTCTACTACACTACAACTACAACTACAACTACACTCCACTACACTCGACTACACTCCACTACACTAAATTACACTACACTACACTACATTACACTACACTACGCTCCACGACACTACACTACACTACATTACACTACACTTCGCTACCTTCCACTACACTTCACTACTTTACACTACACTACACTCCACTCCACTCCACTGCACTACAACTACAACTACACAACTACATTCCGCTACACTCCACTACACTAAATTACACTACGCTACACTACATTACCTTAATAAGGTCTGATTTTTAATTTGGTAGGGTGGAGGTACTTAGGCACGGGTGTGATTTGGTTTCCATGATACATTACACTACACTCCACTACACGACACTACATTACACTACACTACCTTCCGCTACACTTCACTACATTACACTACACTACACTCCACTACAACTACAACTACAACTACACTCCACTACACCACATTACACTACACTACACTCCACGACACTACACTACATTCCACTTTGCTACACTACCTTCGACTACACTTCACTACATTACACTACACTCCACTACACTACAACTACAACTACGACTACACAACTACACTCCACTACACTCCACTACACTAAATTACACTACACTACACTACATTGCACTACACTACACTACATTCCACTACACTCCACTACACTACATTACACTGCATTACACTGAATGACACTGCACCACAGATAGATAGATAGATAGATAGATGGATAGATAGATAGATAGACAGATAGACAGGTAGACAGATGAAAGAGAGAGAGAGAGATAGATAGATAGACAGATAGATAGACAGACAGATAGATAGATAGATAGATAGGTAATTAGATGAAAGAGAGAGAGAGATAGATAGATAGATCGTTAGATAGATAGATACATAGAAGATAGATTAGGTAGGTAGATAGTCAGAGAAAGCGAGAGAAAGAGAGGAGACCTCAAGCACCTTTCGGTCCATCAGTGGATTCGCTCTGCCATCCCTGATTCACAACAACCAATCTCTCCTGTAGGTTGCCTATTTTTGAAACTTCCGCCACCGCCTTGTGCGGTACTACTGGTAGCCTGACACCAATCATTGTACCTTATCATGCATACGTGACTGCAGCCCAAATAAAGGCCATCAATGGGTAAGGAAGTTGGAAAAAGGAATGCCATACATAAGTAGTGCTCAATCGAACAAATCCAAAGCAAATTTGACAACACGCGTATATATATATATATACATAAGTACAATCAAGTACATATATATATATATATATATATGTTTTATCGTTATATATCACTAAATCAATGTCAAATACACACACATATATATATATAAACACACATATGCAAACCCAACTGTATTTACAACAAAATATGGATCAATATATATATATATATAATATAGACCATTACATACCATATTCATGCATGCCATAGATGTATACGTATATCTGGGCATGTGTGCGCCTAGGCTTCCAACCTGACTTCAAACCATGGCGTCCGGATGCGCATGGCCGCTCCAGTGCCTAGCTTCATGGTTGGAACAAGCTAAAAGCTAAGGGTAAGACTGGAGTTACCCACTGACACCACACGCAAGGCTGCAGCATGCGACGCAACAGGTCCGACCAAGCGTGTCGTCGAGGCGTATTTCATGGCTCATGACTGCTGATATACTGCAACAAAAGCCTGGAATGGCTTCATAAGAACATGGCCGAACATGGTTCCCATATGTTTCCAGTAACATTCTGATTAGTATCCCGCTTTGGATTTAAAGATATCCTTAGATATACGGATGCAAAGAGATCCGCCTTATCATTATCCACCCCCGAAAGGACACTTGCGACATCCTGCGACCATCTTGTCATGGAACCTGAAGTGAGCAGTGGCATCCCTCGCGGTGTCGAACACATTTGCGACATCGCTGAAAGCGAGTCTGTTGTCACCGTTGGTCGCTAGCGGAGGTGGTTGAACAATGGTACCGCAGTTCCAATGGACCACACATTTACAGTAGAGAAAAGAAGCTACATAGATATGACAAATATCATGTATGTTACTGATTCTGTTGGTTAATATGATCATTACTACTTCAATGACTTTCAATGTCATTGATAGTTACTGTACTACCTGTATTGAACAAATTCAATTGAAACACAGGACCGCAGATTCTAGAGAACCTGTCGATTGTGATTGGTGACCAGTCTCTACAGCCAGTAGGTAGTATGGGCAAAAGCTTCGAAACCTATCGTGTTGCAGTGCGATGAGCATGTCACGAGCTAGCTGACCTTTGCTGGTAGGTTTCAAAAACCATGCTAATGGATACATGACCTCTTTTAGTTTGCCTCCAGGAATCTAGCGCTATGGAACACCGACGTTCTTCATAGGTAAATCATCTGCAAAGGGGCCACTTTCCATAGCTATGATGGATTACCAGCGGGGTCAAAAAATCAAAAAACACATTTTGGAAAGGGAAATTGGAGATATTGAAGCAAACTACGGTTCATAAGGCGACTGGGCCCCCATCATCTTTTGCACTCTCCCATCTTTGGCTGATTCATTGGTTGTCTGGTTTATGGTTTAGGAGTGGAGCAAAAAAAAGCACATCACCCAGGACAACCTTCACGGAATGTGTTTGAAGGATTTGTTTAACAGGAAGTCCCATCTTTCCTATTCTTTCCTAGCATCTGATAGAAAGAGTGTAAGAAATAACAGCCAGATTTCCTGTCAGTTTTGTTTTCAACCAAGCCATTGTCTGTTGGTCCATTGATTCTTTGTGCCACCACAACACTAGGACCTTGACCTTCACCGCGGGTGATGCGCTGAGCGCAAAATCCCCAGCATCTTTTCCGATTCTGACGCATGGAGATGGGCCAAGCTTGGGACAAACATTGACATAGAATTAAAACCAACTAAATTGTTAGTAACTTTTGTCTTGACCTGTGCTGGTACATCTAGTACCCTTATCTTTTTGGTTCATACCATCCTGTGACAATGCCATCTTGAATCATGACTTGCTTACTGCCAAAGCTTTCAGAGGGATGATTTTGTGAGCGCCATAAAATTTGAGCGCCATCTTGAAAGCTTGGCCCTGGGTGTTGGAGAATGCAGGGCATCACATCTGTCTTAAACAAAGCGGGAAAAGCCCTGCATTATTTTTTAGGGCCTTGCCGCGGCAACATCGTAATCCCTGGGAAAAGCAAGTTTGAAGAATGTTGTGTCTATTCCCTAAATGGAGTTTCATCAATTTGATGCTGGAAGTGGTTACCTTATATTTTGATGCATCTGGTTCCCTGGATTTGGATTGCCATTAAATGATACCAGTAGTACCCGCACGAGGCGGGGCGGAAGTTGCCTCAGGGATATACTATAAAACCTTTCTCATCTATAGAATTTGCATGCGCCGTGCGCCAACCAGGCCCGTGCGTGCGTGCTTTGTGCGAAGCTGTTGCACAGATGTTGTCCAAGAACATGACCTGCGCACGACCCGGGCGCAGTGCAACGCCAAGCAAACACTTTCCTCACACTTCACACTGCACTCTTCACTGCACACTTGCACTTCACACTTGCACTTCGCACTCGACACTTCACCTCATCTCAAATCATGTGAGCTCTTCTCACCTCATCTCAGCTCTTCTCATCTCATCCCATCTCTTCTCACATGTCAGTTAAGTAAGTTCTTCTCAACTGTTTTCATCTCATCCGAGCACTGATCAACCTTTCTCATCTCCTTGAAGTTCGTCTCAACTCATCTTAGCTGTTCTGCACGCCAAGAAGCTCTTACTGCCGGAGAGAAGTCCCTTGCACAAAAAAACCATTGGGCGCAGAAAGTGTTTGCACACAGACACTTGAGACAGAGATGCATTTACATACAAAAGCCTTTCCGAAATACTTTGTACTACAAAGCTTGCACAAAGCACTTCCCAGTACTACTTTGTACTACAAAGATTGCACAAAGAAGTTCCCAGTAAGACTTTGTACTACAAAGCTCGCACAAACCACTTCCCAATACTACTGTGCACTACAAAGCTTGCACAAAGCACGTTCCAGCACTACTTTGTACTACAAAGCTTGCACAAACTACTTCCCAGTACTACTTTGTACTACAAAGTTTGCACAAACTACTTCCCAGTACTACTTTGTACTACAAAGCTTGCAAAAAGTACTTCCCAGTACTACTTTGTACTGCAAAGCTTGCACAAAGCACTTCCCAGTACTACTTTGTACTACAAAGCTTGCACAAAGTACCTCCCAGCACTACTGTGTACTACAAAGCTTGCAAGAAGTACTTCCCAGTACTACTTTGTACTACAAAGCTTGCACAAAGCACATTCCAGTACTGCTTTGTACTACAAAGCTTGCACAAAGTACGTTCCAGCACTACTTTGTACTACAAAGCTTGCACAAACTACTTCCCAGTACTACTTTGTACTACAAAGCTTGCACAAAGCACTTCCCAGTACTACTTTGTACTACAAAGCTTGCACAAACTACTTCCCAGTAATACTTTGTACGACAAAGCTTGCACAAAGCACTTTCCAGTACTACTTTGTACTACAAAGCTTGCACTTGCACAAACTACCTCCCAGCACTACTGTGTACTACAAAGCTTGCAAAAAGTACTTCCCAGTACTACTTTGTACTACAAAGCTTGCACAAAGCACGTTCCAGCACTACTTTGTACTACAAAGCTTGCACAAAGCACGTTCCAGTACTACTTTGTACTGCAAAGCTTGCACAAAGCATTTCCCAGTACTACTTTGTACTACAAAGCTTGCACAAACTACCTCCCAGCACTACTGTGTACTACAAAGCTTGCAAGAAGTACTTCCCAGTACCACTTTGTACTACAAAGCTTGCACAAAGCACATTCCAGTACTGCTTTGTACTACAAAGCTTGCACAAAGCACGCTCGAAGTACTACTTTGTACTACAAAGCTTGCAAAGGGTACTTCCCAGCACTACTTTGTACTACAAAGCTTGCACAAAGCACATTCCAGTACTGCTTTGTACTACAAAGCTTGCACAAACTACCTCCCAGTACTACTGTGTACTACAAAGCTTGCAAAAAGTACTTCCCAGTACTACTTTGTACTACAAAGCTTGCACAAAGCACGTTCCAGCACTACTTTGTACTACAAAGCTTGCACAAACTACTTCCCAGTACTACTTTGTACTACACAAAGCTTGCACCCAGTACCAAAGCTTGCAAAAAGTACATCCCAGTACTACTTTGTACGACGAAGCTTGCGCAAGGCACTTCTCAGTACCACTTTGTACTACAAACCTTGCACAAAGTACGTCCCAGTACTACTTCGTGATACAAAGCTTGCACAAAGAAAGCTTTTACATACAGCAAGCTCTTTCGCAGAGAAGCTTTTACACACAGCAAGCTTTTGAAACAGAGAAGCTTTTACACACAGAAGCTTTTACACACAACAAGCTTTTACACAGAGAAGCTTTTACACACAGCAAGCTTTCACACACAGCAAGCGTCGAGCGTTTACACAAAGAACACTTACACACAGTGCTTTTACACATGGCAAGCGTTTACACACACAGAAACTTTTACACAGAGAAGCTTTTACACACAGAGAAGCTTTTACACACAGAGAAGCTTTTACACACAGCAAGCTTTTACACACAAAATCTCTTACACACAGCAAGCCTTTACAGAAAAAAGTGTTTACACAGAGAGAGACGCTTTCTTGTACATAATCACAACAGGAATTGCAGCTCCAAAAAGCGGATCTCGACACCAAATCGAAAAAACACGAATTTTGAAGCACTTTTTAAAAGGACTATTTCAAAGGAAAATTACTAGCGCCAAAATTCAGAAAATCTGCTGACAAATCACTGTCGCCTGTCGCAGCCTTGATGCAGCCACTCCAATACTATTTACGAGATCCCGCTGCAAAAGACAATAGTATTGCGCATCACGTCGCAAACCTGCACGGATCTACGCACATGGCAACACCAGATGACAACAATCATGCAGCCATTCCACTGCTATCTGCAACCACAGATTCAAGAAACGCACAGGAACAACCATTCGTTGCAAAACACAGAGGAGGAACCAATTCGCGACAGAAACGACCGCAGCCGCAACCGCCGCACACACGAGGTACCTTTCATCGCCGGCTGCAACCACTTTACACGGAAAAATGCAAGCTTTCGTGCTCCGGCTTCCTCCCCAAAACAAAGCCCATTGAGCATTATGCAGCCACTACAATGCGTTTTGCAGCATCACGTGGCTAACGAATCTCTCTACGCACACGGCAACACCAGATGACAACAATCATGCAGCCTTTCCACTGCGATCTACAACCGCGGCGGATTCAAGAAACGAATGGAACTACACACACACAGGAACAACCACTCGTTGCAGAACACAGAGGAGGAACACATTCGCGACAGAAACGACCGCAGCCGCAACCGCCGCACACACGAGGTACCTTTCATAGCCGGCTGCAACCACTTTACACGGAAAAATACAAGGTTTCGTGCTCCGGCTTCCTCCCCAAAACAAAGCCCATTGAGCATTCATGCAGACATTACAATGCGTTTCTTCGTCGCCACTTCCCTTCGTCACCGCTTCCCTTAGTCACCACTTCCCTTCCTCACTACTTCCCTTCGTCACCACTTCCCTTCGTCACCACTTCCCTTCGTCACCACTTCCCAAAGTCACCACTTCGCTTCCTCACCACTTCCCAAAGTCACCACTTCCCAAAGTCACCACTTCCCTTCCTCACCACTTCCCTTCGTCACCACTTCCCAGAGTCACCACCACTTCCCTTCCTCACCAATTTCGTCCTCACCACTTCCCTGCATAGCCTTTTATTTTTTTGTGATGTATTGTTACACAGAACCACCCTTCATTGCCTTTTATTCTTTTGTGATGTATTGTTACACAGAACCACCCTTCATTGCCTTATCCTTTTGTGATGTATTGTCACCACTTCACCACCCTTCATCAATGTCAAGTCTCACAATTCTATTTGTCTGTAACTCGGAAGATTGCTTCCCAACTTCCTTTGATAATATAGCTTAGTGTAGGAAAGCTCTAGGAAGGCTCTTTGCAGATCAAGGCTGTCGGAAAAAAATATCCAAGCCTCATTTTTCCCAAAGTAAAGGAGTTGGTCTCCACAACAACAAGTGAGGAAACAAGCGGCCGCCGCAAAGGAGTGGAACTTCGCAACAGGAATGTGCGGTTCGTGGGTCATTTTCGCATAGCCAGAGGATGTGGAACCCGTATATGTGGGCAATGTTATGGGCCTAGGTTCAAAGCCCAAGTCTAGAGCCCCTGAGGTCGAAGCACTCCACGTCTGACTGGTCCACATTTGAGACACGCACCAAGTTGTTTGCAAGATCTTTCCCCTTTCATTTGCAATAGATAATAGATACATGGATACAAATGGTATGTAATGATATGTCTGATCCAATCAATCCCGCTTTTTGCCATGGCTGTATGTCGCCCATCCTTGGATGCTCCTGTGGCCCCAAGCCCAAAATTACAGCAATGGGTTCCTTTTCTGCTTGGTTCATCAATTCATGTTGATCCATGGTGATTCACGGTGATTCCCCTCCTCTACGGCGCTACGGCCCGGTTGGTAGTGATAATTCATCAGTGATATTATAAGTTGTCCTGTTTCTATCAAGCAGGCGGGAAAATGTCCCAGAGTCGGCTGTGGGTAAAATAAACCGGCGAAAGTCTCACATAGTTTTTCACTCAAAATTGTGCAATGTCATAGTTTCTAGGCGCGGAGGCATGGTCTCTCTCTCTCTCTCTCTCTCCTTTCTTCAGTATGTATATATATATATATATAATCCCATACCTTTCCAAAGGGGAGGCAGTGCAGTGATTTCTGTTTTCGTATCGCAATTTGATGCTTCTATCCTAGTCATGACCTCCTCCAGCACAATCCGCGCTGGTGCAGCTTGGTTCCAGTTTGACCCTTCTCTTAACTTTTATTCAACCTTATCCCTTGGAACATCTTGGAACTCTCTGGGCCGACTCTGGACTGGCAGCCGTCTGTTTCACAGAGGTCACGCCCACGACGGAAGAGGACCCTTTGCACACCCAACCCTTTCGGTCGTTGCCACGCAATGTTTTTGTCCGGGTCCCGAGTACAAGACTCCAGCGTGGCATCGAGTGGCAAGCGACCAATTACAACCAATCATGACCAACTGCTTTGCAGGTTGGCGTCGCCCGGTCGCATCTTGGGCGACTCAGGGTTCAGCGCAGGCGCATAATATTCGAGACCGAATGGGACTGGCCACTCATTGTGGTCAGTGTATACGCCATAGCCGTAGCCGTGGGCGGGCCATTGGTTCCTGGGAGTGTGGTCGTGGTTCACCGGTTTCACCATGGACAATTCGAACAGTGATCCCACAGCTACCACCAGCTACCATCCGCTATCCAGCCAAGATTCCAATAATTCCATGTTGGATGCGGAGAGCAAAAATGTTCCATATGCTCCGTGTGTGGACTTGCCTTGGGCGACAGGGATTGGTGGCTCTGGACATCTCTGGACCGTCTGGACCAACGAATGTCCATCCCCACCTTGCTGGTTTACAGACCCCATACAGCCCCATGCTGTGTACTTCTTGGTTGCACCCTTATATATCGTATTTCCATTACACCCCTTCGAATGGCAAACATATGTTTGAACAAAGAGTGTGTATATATATACCAGCTAAGCCAATACACCCGGAAAGATGACGTTTTTCAAAAAAATGTTCGTTTTTTTTTGGGAGCCGGTATTCCTACGCTAGGGAGAAAAGGTGTGAGAATTCATTTTTGGGACATATATGGGCATTTTGTATGGTTGTTGTAGCTGCATTGGCTCCAACGGCTTGGTTCCATGCTGCGTTTTCCACCTGTGCTTCCGGCATGTTTATCCAGGAAGTGGCTTTGAGCTGCTGCATGTGCATGGAGGCTTTATTTAAAACACGTGTGTCCTGGATTGCATTTGCTTAAGCCATACACGCAAGGTTTCTGCAATTGTTTTCGCAGCTCTTGGCTCCAACAGGTGGTTTGTGTGAAAGAAACCTGGGGCAAAACCTGCAGCCATGTCGTCGCCCGAAGCCACTAAGGAAATCATTTTCAATAACTTGGAGGGTTTGAAGCAGGCTTGGGACAACAGCGAAAGCATCCGCACCCGCCTTCGCCAGTTCCAGCGGCTACTTGTAGACAGAAGGAAGGGCTTTGAGGAAGAAGCACCTGCAGGAGCTGTTGCCAAGACGAATGAGAATGCCCGAGCCAACGAGGAAGTCTTGAGGCCTCTCCTGAAGAAGGTGGCCGTGGCAGGCCTCAATGCAGTGCCATGCATTGACGCACTCCAGGATGAAATTCTGAAGATGCACAAGGCCAATGGTTTTGCGCCGACCGCCTCAGTTGTCAGCGATGAAGCCTGGTCCTTTAGATACTTGCTGAGTCTTGTGAAGGGCCTCACCTACAAAGAGAAGCCTCCCAAGGTTTCTTGTTGGTCCGACTAGTAGACTACTAGTTTTGCTTTTCGGTTTTAGTCCCCTTGGGCCACAACCTGCCCCAGAAATAATCAGCATGGTTACTTCATGCATTTTGTCAGGATGACATTTTCAAGTCTATGCTGACAGACCTGGGCGTTGACGTTGCAAACTGGAAGCCGGCCATGAAGAAACAGCCGCGCCAGGACTGCGGGGGGGGGGGGTTCACAGTTGCAGTTTGGGTTCTTTGTGTCCTGCAGCCATTTATCATGCTCATGCAGCACGTTGCCGCCTGTCTTTTCGGCAGCCCCACTTTCACTGCACCTTGGATTTGCTGCAGCCGTTTTCATTTCCAGTGCAGCCATGTTCCGTGCTTGCTCTGCAACCATTTCCCGCAGCTGTTTCTTTTGCATTGTTGTCGCGGCCATTTCTTGCCTTAATTTGTGGTGGTCTCTTTAGCAGCCGGTTTGATTGTGGCCATTTCATGTCCCTGCAGTTGTTCCATTGACATGTTTGCAGCCCCATTTTCGCTGCAGCTATTTCCACGGCACCTCCACCCTCACTGCACCTTGGATTTGCTGCAGCCATTTTTTTAAAGTCCATCGCAGCCATTTTCAGTGCTTGCTCTGCAGCCATTTCCCGCAGATGCGTTTCTTTTGCAGTGTTGTTTTGGCCAGTTCTCCCGTAGCCATGTCTTGCCTTCATTTGTGCAGTTGTTCCATTGACATGTTTGCAGCCCCATTTTTGCTGCAGCTATTTCCACAGCACCCCCGCTGTCACTGCACCTTGGGTTTGCTGCAGCCATATTATGTCCAGTGCAGCCATTTTCAGTGCTTGCTCTGCAGCCCTTTCCCGCAGCTGTTTCTCCTGCAGCGTTGTCGCAGCCATTTCTCCGCAGCCATTTCTTGCCTTACTTGATTTGTGGTGATCTCTTGAGCAGCCGATTTGACTGTAGCCATTTCATTTCCCTGCAGTTCTTTGTCCAAGTTGTCTCAAATGAATCATTTTCTGCAGCCGCCTTTGCAGCCTTTATTTTCCACAGCGGTTTTTGTGCCAAATTCTGCAGCTGTTTTTTTACTGGCAAGGAGGATGCCTTGTCACTGCAGCAGTTTTTTTGGGGGGAAAATTGCCGTAGCTGTGGTATATATTCCTGGCTGCTAGTTTTAACGTAGTCGCTTGTCCTGGAGCCATTTTGATCATAGCCTGCTTTCTACTGCTGCCGTTTATGTCTGATAAATTCAAACTGGGTTGATCATGGGAACATTTTTTTTGTTATATTCATTTTCTGTGTTCACAACACATGTGGACAGGAGCCCGAGAACTCTGACAAGACGGAGAAATTGGCTCCTGCAGTTGCGCCAGCGGCAAAGTTAGAAGGAAATCATGTTGTGTCCAAGGAAGCAGCACCGGCTGCTAGGGAGTCTGCGAGCGTCTGTGGTCCTCTGCCGGCTTCAGACATTGGTCATTTGACTGCAATGGTTGGGCCTTGCGATGCTCAGGCACAAAAGGGGCTTCCACCTTCGATGCTCCAGCTGGCTTTGAAGCGGCAATATATCCTGCAGATGCACCTTGTCTGCGATCTTTTGAAATTGAACCTCCTTGAACAAGGATATTTTTCTTGTGCAGATTGAAATTATGTTAGGTTGAAGCAGAAGGCAGAAGGGGCGAAATCTGAAGACCTGGCATCTTCGTTGGTCGGCAAAAGCTCCTCCAGTTCCTCTTTGGGTTCTGACATGGATTTGCTGCAGACTCTCCCGTTGGAAATGGCTCCCGACATGTTGTCCGCGAACAAAGAAACCTGTCCAAAAGCCACTGCTGAGCAGAAGGCTGAAGGCATGCCAATTGAAACTGTGGCTAGGCCGTTGGTTGGCGTGGACAAAGCTCCTGTGCTGGCAGCAGCTGCTGCAGAGTTGGTGAAGGATGCCCAGCAGCCTTCGAACCCAGATGTGTCTGAAGAGTTCCGGCGAAAGCAGCTCAACATGCGTTTGTCGGAAAAAGAGCATCAGGAAGCTGAAAGGGCTGCCGCCAAAGAGGCGAAGAAATCCATGCCGAAGGCAGAGCCAAAGCGGAGAGGCAGGCCTCGCAAGACTGATGACGAGCCTGCATGTGAGAAAGCTAAGAAGCCCAGAAGCAAGAGCAAGGCCACGGCAGCTCCTGCTAAAGGCACTTCGGAGGACAAGCCGGTGGCCGAGACATGTGTGGTTGAGAGCCAGGGCCGCAGGAAGAAGCGTGAGGTTGCGGAAGCCGTGGCAGCCACCTCACCTGCGCCTGCTGCTGAAGCTGTCTCTGCCCCGGTCAAGAGAAGCAGGCGTGCCAACAAAGGCGACTCAAGCCCAGACGTGGACCAAACCCTTGTGCCTGAGATTCTGAAAGTCATGGACCGCTTCAAGCGTCAGAACTACGACAAGGAGAAGGACACCTGGCACGAGCAGTGACTCGGCTCCATGTGCTGCTCCCATTTATTTCCCGGTTTCTTTTAAAAAATCAACCCAGCCTAGGCCGGACACACCTTGGATCCGTTCAGTTGTGTACTGGACTCGCGATGCTGTGGGTGTGAAAGTCCAAACGCCGACTGGGTGGTCTCAGAAGTTCTATTTCTCCAGGAAGTTCATCACCATCGCGGTGAACATCTGGCTTGCCAACAAGATGATTGATTTTCTTAAAGGGCACGATGCTTCCTTTGCAGATTCACCAGAGGCTGTCCAGCACTACTATATGCTCTTGCTTACCGCAGCCGCTGCCCATGACCGCTATGAACAGCTGAGAGCTTCGGTGCCGTCTGAATAGATCAGCACTTGAACATGTTTTCTGATTTGCTGCAGCGTGCGCGCTGCGAACTCTTGCTGCGGGCATTCCCGCAGCTTTTGGGGTTCTGGAGCCACAAGGCCTCCAATTGAATGACATATGCCCTTACGCACATGTTTTCACAGTGCTTTAACAAAATTGTTAAATCAAGTCTGGTTTGAATTTATTTCCCCAGGTTTGTCCATGTGTGCGTGGCATATCGTAGAAAGAGCGACTTAATTGACGAGATCTGACTCTGACTCGCTGCTTGGGGTGTAAAAAGAATTGCTGCTCTTGGTCGGGTCAGTGTGGTTCAAATTGATTCAAGTTGGCATGCCAGGTCATGGCGCTTCTTGCAGCATTGTTGGGCTCTTTCTTCGAGCAGCTGCTGAGCTGAGGCTATTTGGGTTTGTGCTGCATGCAAATGCTGCAGCAATTATTTTGCAGATTCTTACATGCTGTCCAACGCGCGCTGTGTTCTGCACGCTGTCCTGCAAGCTGTTTGACAATGTTCCTGTGGATGTTTTCTTTGGCTCAAGCTCCGTGGTCAAAGGTGTTGCTGCTGAATGTGTCTTTTGATCCATTGCCAGACAATGCCAAACGGCAATGGTGATGGCCATGGTACTGACTCCGAGGAGGCAAGGCGCCACATGTTCCTGGCTGAATTTGTCCTTACTGTTGTCATTTTCCCATTTACTGTATAATTATATATAGACCAGTAGCTGACCCAATAATAAAAGTTTTCATCTTCTTTTCCAAATAACCCAGTATACCCAGAAATAAGGTTGGCTGTAGATGAATTAAGGGGAATTGTTTTCTCTCAGTTCTGTGATGTTCTTTCCTTCCACAAAGGCATGGTGCTGCTGCAGCCTATGATGGAAGACATGGTGGCAAGGGCGACGGAAAGGACCCGGGGAATCTCGGATTCAAGTGTTTTTTTTTCTCCCTGCTGGCTTTTTTTTTGGCAAAGAATGCCCTTCTGAGGAAAGGATTTCCCATGCCTGCGACAACCATGGGGCCGCCTGGAAGCGTGCCACGCCCAAAAGCCATGCCTAGTGGCGGACAGTGGTTGCCTTGCTACCTCTGGTTCCCGAATGGACCAAACAGCTTGCCTACAGGGCCGCCTCCTTTGGCGCCTCCTGTGTTGGCTCCTGTGACCCCGCCGCCGCCTCCTCCGGCAACGAGTGGTCGCCGCAGCCGCAGTCGTTCAACAGATGGCTCACCTGAGGACAGGCACCGTGGAAAATCTCAAGTACACACCAGTGCCTTGGTTGCAATTAATTGACGCCCCAAATGTGTTTTTTTTGGTGTGGGTGGCCTGCGAGCAGTTGAGGTGTGGCAGCAAGGGCAAAGGGTTCCATGCGTCCGCCGCATCCCATGGGACCACCACCTTCCAGAACCAGTTCCACAGCGGCAAGTGCAGTAGTACCTTTTGTCATGCCTGCAGCCAGCACAGATTCGGAGAACTTGCAGTATGTCTTGAAGCGCTTGGGTGAAGGGTGGAGTTTGGCCCCCCCTGCAGGCGCGTAGATTTGTTTCAACTTTTCTGTTGATTTTTGGTCTACGTTTTTTTCAATTTTCAACAGATCATCATCAACCCGGGTGGCAACCATACAGGCAGCGGGTCGTCGCGGCCAAGCTGTACTGAGCGAAGTGGCAGTGGTGAGTGCAGCCGGAAGAAGAAGAAGAAGCGTCGACACAGGTCGCGACGCAGCCACGAGCCTCGCAGCCGCGAGCGTGACAGTGGCAGCTGAGTGACCCTGACAAGGGAATTTGTTTTTCAAGATCTTTGCAGCTTGCTTCTTCTGGATTCAGTGATGCTGCAGACGCGGGTCCATAGAGAAAAAAAAGCTTCTTGCATCTTCTTGCAATTTTTCCTTTTTTGGTTTTCTTCTACCTTTCTTATTGGCAGGTTCTATGGTGCGGCACAGCGTTCGTGTGCGGCTGCAGCCTCGTTCCAGCGTTGATGGCCCCATTGCCGCGCCATCTCCTGTGCACGGGCGGCCTGTTCAGAGGAGCATACGTCTACCGGCCATGTTTGTGCATGCAGACCTCCGCTCACTGTTGCCGCAGCCCTTCTTGCCCGTAGCCGTTTTCATTGCTCAGATTGAGTATAGCTTCTCCATTGTGGCAGCCATGCTCCATGCAGTCCGCACGGAAGAAGATGTGGACAAGCTGGTGATGCGCCTTATTCTTCTAAACGCTCCTAAGGCAAGGGTTGGTAAAAACATTTTTTTCTGTTGGTTACAAATCGCATTTTCCCTGCAGGCATTTGTTTGGGTGGTCATCATGATGTGCTACCATGCCAACATGGCGGATGTTCCGGAGGTGAGGTGCCAAAAAAAAGCCTTTGACGTTAAAGGCTCAAGTCCATTAAAGCCCCTGAGAGGCATTCTCCTGTGTGGAGTTCTTCTGTGGAGACTCCAACCTGACGCAAAGCATGCGGTATGGTTTGATCTGTGCTGCAGCTCTGGATATCAAATTTGGAACTGGAAGCAGGAGGACCTTTAAACAGAACGCCTTTGATTTGGGGACACCCGTCGGCTTGGCGTTGCTGGGCAGGAAGAAAGATTTTGCATTCCGCAGTTTTTTTTTCTTCCCCCCTTTGGCTGAAAAAATGAGGCTCGCTGTGTGGGTCTTGCTCCAAACCTCGCCAGCTGGTTTCCTTTGCGTTTTGGCAGTGGTATGTTCTTCTTTCTCGGCCGTCAATGTGGGGACATCCATGCGGAGTCCAGCAACACCACTTGGAGATTGCTCCAAACCTTCGGTGAGAGCGCCCCAACTGCAGATTTTTTTGGTGGTAATTTCCTGCTGATGATTTTCACAAGAAATTTCGTCGGCAATTTCGAAGAAGTAATTATGGAATGATTGCACGGCCCATGTTTGATTGGCAGCCCAGGTTGGAAATCTATTGCTGAGCCGCAGCATATTGCTTTGTCTCCTCACCTGTGCTCTGGGAGGAACATGGTTTGTCGAGCAGCCATCCTCTTCCCGACTTCCATGGTTTCCACGTTGGGAGGATATGGTGCTCATGATGCGTGTATGGAGGGTGGGGTGGTGGAGCCGGCACTACGGCTCGCTGAGCCCGAATCTTGCATTGGATTGGTAGCAAGGTCTCGGCGTCTGGTTTCCGGCATTGAACCAATCCATAATCCAGTGTCTGGTTTCCGTCACTGGATTGGTAATAAGGTTTTAAATTAAGCTTCATGAATGGTGTCTGGCCTCCTCTAAATAATTTTTCTTTTTGTGGATACTAGTCACGTGGCCGAACCTCATTTCTGTTTTTGTCCCGTGCTTCAGGAAACGTCACCGGGGATGGTCGAATTCCCGTGAGATCTATGCCTTGGACCGTGGACGCCTCCATAGAGCAGCTCGGTTGGCTTGCAAGGTGAAAACCACCAACAAAAAGAAGGTCAACGGAAAAAACAAATATTCTGGCAATCGCTTCCTGAAAGGCACACAGTGGGATCCTCAGATATGTCACCCAGCGGTTTGAAAGCAGAGAAACACAAAACACAGGGCATGGGCATGCAGTTACTCTCCTGGCAGGAGCTATCCTATAGCTTTTGGACTGAAAGTGCAAAGTCTCCTGCCCCGCCTGATTGCTTCGAGTTCCGGCCAGCCGAAGATTCCCTGCCCTCCGCCCAACACGGACGGCTGGGATGTGCCTCTAATGTTTCAAAGAATGGAATTTGACAAGTCCAGCTGGACAGAAGCAGACTTGTTGGAAGTAGTGAGGTACCTACGAGGCTCACGGCACTTAAAGGTGCCTGCCCGTTGGAAAAATGTCTTTCCAAAGGGAATTTAAACAAAAAGGTTGATTTCGGGTGGTTTTGGCGTGAATTCTTTCTTTATCCAAAAGTAAAAAACTGGAGCTGTTACACTAGGAGAAATGCAGAAATTCACCCGGAGAAATTCATGTACACACCCGGAGAAATTTGCTACCCGGACTAGGTGTGAGAATAGCCGGAGAAGGAGTGAGAATAGCCGGACTTGGTGTGAGAATTAAGTGTGGGAATTCCCGGAGAAAATGCATGTATCTTATGTATTCTATGTATTGCCAAGGTCGCTCAAAGAGCAACATTTTATGACATTAGCTTTGAAAAAACAATCTGTTCCCTAAATTGGTTGATTTTCGCTCAAATCACATGCATTTTTTCCGGGCATGTGGCAGGGAAACTTGTTTTTAGTCAAAGAAATCGATTCCAATGTTGCCCACACACTCCTCAGTCCATGGCGGCATATTTTTCTGCAGTGCAGCGACTTTCCGCAGCATTTTTTGAGTTCAAGATCGGGAATGTTTCCAAACAAGCTTGAAAGCCGCGCTTGGTCCTGCAGTGACCTGGTTCGTGGAGCTGCTCAAGTGGTGGATATGGCTGCCAAACCTGCTACTGTGGTCTTGCAGCAGCAGCGAGAGCAGATCAGCGCGCAGCTTGCAGAGCTCAGCATAGAGGATTTGCAGAAACTGCTGGAGGAGGGGCCATCACGTTCGTTTGCTCGGTCATTTTTCTTTGTTGTGGTCCTTTCCAATGTGAACATGACATGTTCTTCCTTGTCATTTCTGCTTGAGGAAACAGAAGACGCTATGCATCACCACGATCTTGGAGATCATGCTGGTGGCATGGCCGTAGCCCTATTATCAGAATTTCTGCCGTGTCACTTCAGCATTCAGCATGCTATGAGCCTGTGTGCGAATTGTTTATGAGGTTGAGTGGCTAGAAGCCAAGGAGGAGAGCGCTCATGATGGGCAACCACTTGTTTCACCGCCAGCGCTTGGCCTCCATTCTGCTGGGTTTTGTTCACAGTTCCCCCTGAATATAAGTTGCTTGTTTCAATCATGTCATTGGACGCTAAAGCAGATCATGAAGTGAGGCACCTGCAGTAGAACCTCTTGCGGCTCCAAAAGTTGAGTTGGGACGTGCTGGCGATGGTTCTGCCGAATCGTCATCTTCGCAGCCATGTTTCCCTGCAGACTCCTTCCCAGCCACTGAGATTGCAACCCAGAAGTCTCTCGCTCAACTTGAAGCCTCGAGCTTGCCGGCCGCAGAAGCAGGAAGTGATGAGGCGCAGAAGCAAAACGTGAAAACGAAGATTGAGCTGCCTTGTCCTCCTGCATCTCTGTCTTACGAGCAGGATCCAAAGAGCAGAGCCAAAAAAGGGAGAAATTTAGCAGTTGTTTGATTTTCCCCCTTTCATCCCCTTCCAATATTTGATTTGCAGGACCCGACTGTGCTGGATGTGTCTTCGGATGAATCTGATTCTGAGACGGGTCGTATTCGACGAGCTGCCACGCTGCAGCTTGGTCAGACAGATGATGACCTTCCTGAGCGGTCATCCCGTCCAGTCTTGACAGCTGCTGAAAGGGCAGAGATTGCGACCTGGCCTGATTCCCACCCCCGGGAAGACACTTTTGGTTTCTCACAAGTATCTACTCCGGAGATCGCAACTCCTGCCAGTGCTGCAGCCCTGGTACCTGAGCAGAAGGCTATGATGACAGCAGTGAAGGCTCAGCCACCAAAGCCTCCTGCGACAATCCCGGCTCATGACTTGGAGATCGAAGAGATGCAGAAGAAATATGCTGACTTGCAAGCCCAATTGGCATTGGTGCAGGCGGCTTTGCAGAAGAAGGAAAACCAAAGTATTCCTTGCCATTCCCCTCCTGTGCAGAAGCCCGTCTTCACACCAGAGGCCAGTTCCACATCAATTCCAAAGATGGCTCCCGCCACAAGGACTCCGGCCGAAAGGTTGCCAAAGGCTGTTGCTGCGGTGCCCTTGGCTGCAGGAAAGGCTCCTGAGCCAAAGGCAGCTGCTTCATCCCCTGTCAGCACACCTGCTTCCATCCCTGCCCGCAGTATTGAAGTGTCGACGCCGCCCCCTGTGGCAGCTGCCGCTCACCCACCCCCAACGCCACCCACTGCGCCAGCTAGCACCCCTTCAGCCCCTGGGAGCCTTGGTGCTGGAGCCGTTGAGCTGTCCGAGAAAGAGCTCGATGAGTTTTACTCCTTGGATTCCGAGGATGGCATTGTTTCTGAAGAAAAAGTGTTTCCAATTATTGTCTTTTGAGGGTTCGTTGTGCCCTGCTTTTTGGGCTTAACCTTGCAGGAGTTGACGCCACATGCCCTTTATATGAGGCTCAAACGCCTCTGCGCCAGAACAAACACAGGCAAATTGCAAGTCCCAGAAGAAGTCCATACTCAATGGATTTCTGGCAACCGAGACGAATTGTCGGTTGCTCTGTGCCGTGCGCTGAAAACTTACGGGTTCGACAGCGGTCACAAGACACGCCAACTTGTGCGGGTTGGGGTTTGGAAATTTCAAGGTTTCATTGATTTTGTCTGTTGGTTTGCTTGCTCACAGGGATTGCTCTCCAATATTGTTTCTCCACAATTAACTCCAAATTATGTTTAGTCACCGAAAATCCACAGTATAGTTTTCACGTTTCGCATTATATATTCCCCACATATATTCAACCCTAAATTTGATATCAAGATATATCAAGTTTAGGACCAATGCCACCACCATGTCACGCAACGGAAACCAACATGTTGCCAACAGGCGGAGTTTCAAGCACAATTGGTGAAGATCAAGGAGGTCAGCCGGGCCCGCGAAGAGGAGGTCGAGGGCGGCTGGTATACCGAGGAGAGGATGGAGAAGGATCTGGGCTATTCAAAGATTCTCGGCTTGTGGGTCAACCTTGCACTGTCATTGCTGCGCCTGCAGCTCGTTCTTCTTCTATCTCTTGGCTGAGGACACTTGTGGCGAAGGTGAAGGCATACTGCGAACGCTTCAAGACCGTGCTGGTAAGGACAGGGAGGGTTCTGTTCTGTCTGCAGCTTTTTCAAAGGTCAAAGTGTTCCGGTGACATTTCTTTCTTGCAATGGTCTGCAGGGCCTTTCGGTACGACTCCAACCAGTCGGAATATTTTGTCCAGACGTCAGACACCGTCAAGGTGAAGCGCGCTGACTTGGACAAGTGGATGCAGGCCAGCGATGCAGGAGACGAGGCAAGCACCCGCCGGATCTTCATTTTCTTTTTTGTATACACCGTGGGTTTTCGAAACGCATTTGCTTTCCTTCCAGGGCATGCCGGACAAGCTGGACCACATGAAGCTGATGGATGGGGTTCCTTCCCAACCTTTGCCTGATGGTGCCATCGGAAGTGTACCCCTGGATAGCATGGCCGAGATCAAGGAGAACCTGAAACAGTTCACGGAAGCCACCCACTGCAAGGCCAGCCAAGTGGTGACGTGGATCCAAAACGTGGAAGTCTCCGCGACGGACCGGAGCAACAAGCAGCTGGACTCATTTTCATTTTCAGTGTTAAACTTCTATGGTTTTTTTCATGTCATGATGTTTGTTAACTAGTTTGTTTTCTGATCACAAGCCAACCTCAGGTTTGTAGCGGATATGAAGCAATTGCTGGATGCTTTGGAACCAGCTTTTTTGAAGCTGGCAGAATGCCAGCACGCCTTGGACACGAAGGGTGCGGAAACAGAAGAGAGCCATGTCGGCAGTTTTGCATCTTGAGAAATGCTTCTTGTTGTGGATTAGAAACGGGCAACTGTGGCATCAATGCTAGCGGCGGGCACTGTGCCGTCTGAAACTAAGGATCCGAAAGATCATCGCAGAAGCAAAGGCAGCCGCCCGTGACCCGCACCTTGTTGGCATTGTCGCTATAAATAGCCTGAAATACAGCCCTGGGTTTCCTTCCAAACATGGCACTTGGCATCAAGGTGCGTGAAGATCCTGGCCGCTGAGCATCGCTACAAGCTGCTGGCAGGAGAGTTGAAAAAGCCGCTGAACAAGCGCCCCAGGGAGGAAGGACACCAGGCCCTGCCACCTGCTCCAGAGGCTTCTCCAGGTGACGAAGGCAATGCGCCGAAGAAGCCTCGCAGCAAAGCAAAGGCGAAGAGCAAGCCTTCCTGAATGACCTGCTGCAGCTTGAGAGGCTGAATTTTGTGCCGAACATGTCCCCACTTGAAACAGTGGGAGGGTGTTTTGTGTGTGCTTTGCTACCATCGGGCATAGCGGGCCAGCCTGTTCAATCACCTCAGTATACGGGACCGATATGGTGCAAGAAACAATGATTGATGTCAGCCAGTGCCTCTGCCCGTAGGAAGTCACAAGCTTTTGGGGTATAGCATCACCTGCACATTTTGTAGGTGTTTGCGTTTGAGATCTTAGGGGATCCGGCTGAACTTGGCCCTTGCATTTTGCAAGTGGGCTGCGGGATGGGCACTTGAACCATGGAACCCGCATCCTGCTCTATGGTGATTTCGAGACCTATGCCAGGCAACTCTTGACACATGACTGGCGAAAAAAAAGGAGCTGATTGGGCGCGCTTGAAGTCTTCCAGTCCTGCCGCTGCTTTTTTTGTCTCGGACATTTTGGACCCAAATAATGAGCAAAGAATAGCCAGGTAAAGCTGCTTCTCGCTCGCAGAGATCGCGGCCTTCGCAGAGCTCACAGCCTTCGCAGAGCTCGCAGCCTTCTCAGAGCTCGCGACCGTCGCAAAGCTCGCGGCCTTCGCATGTGGCAGCTAGCCTAGCGCGCAGCTTGAGTCGTGGGGTTGCTGGGTTGGACATTGCAGCCTGTTTCTTTCGTATCCATCTTATTTTAGATTTCCACATGCTTGCCGGCCCCTTTTGGAAGAAAAGTATTCAGGCTCCAGCGATACAGCTGGCCGAGCATGCGCAAGCAATTCTTGCAGATGATCGCGAAATGGGGCTCACCAGACATGACCCTGTGGTGGAAGCAATTGCAAGGGGCAGTGCGCATGGGCATGCTGCCCCATGGCTGCAAAAAACCTATTGTTACATTTATTTCAATGGAACTGGGGATGGTGGCCGTTGTAATTTTTTTTCGCTACTTGGCCATGAAAAGCGCCGAAGCCATGGAGGCAAGAACTTCATTCCGAGCTTTGGATGATGCCGGCCTTCGCCTACCTGTCCAATTGAGCTTTAACAAAGTGGGCGATACTGCTCGCCTCTTGGACAATTTGCTTATTTGCTTGAACTTTCTTCTGCACACCTGTTGGGCCATTCCCGAACAGTTTGTGATGTTCATTATCTGAGGATATCCTTGGTTCAAACTCACGAGCATGGTGAAGTGTCTGGAAGAGCTTGACCGCGTGAACCTGCTGCTGCCTGCACAGTCATGGGAACAATCCCAGGAGATGTTGGGCACGTATTGGGCCAGATTCCGCAGCCAATATCCCACCCATGAAGTTTTTGGCCTGCTGACCATGGAAGAGCTACAAATGGCGCTGCCGATAAAGCTTCATGGTGATGAAGGCCGTAGAATCTCGGCTGCATGTAATGGTTCTTCCCAAAAAGGCACACATGCATCTTGTCGCTGGTTTTTGTTGACTTTTTTTGGAAAGTTCGATGTGACTGAGGAAAGATTTTTTTTTTGAAGGTTTAATGTGGCTGAGGTAAGAAGAAAAGCCCGCTGATGCTTCTCAGCTGGCAACCTGTTCTTGGCAGAGGCACTTCTAAGAGCGTGCAGCAACCTCTGGAAGTCCAGAATGCGGCTCAAAAATTGAATTTGTCCCTGGGATTATACAATCACCACCCCTTTAAGGCTACCTGTCAGGGAGGCACCATACCAAAATGTAAGATACATTTTTTTGGGACCTCCATTAAATGTAAAATTGGGATCTGAACGTCCCTCAGGTGTCGTTTTTGTGGGGAGGGTTGTCAAAATACCTTCAAAGTGTAAGCTTATAATTATATTTTCAAGGCCCCCTTCCAAAACACCGTGACAAATTTAGCTTACATTTTGGGTACTTCCCCCCCTTGGTAGTGATATTATATATATTCCTTTCAATGTGCATTTCTCCGGCGACGTTGCCTCCATGGGAATGGCACCGAGGCTGGGAAGTCTGCTTCTCACTCGTTGGCTACTTTTTGCGGCGTTGAAAGAAACCTATTCTGAGTGCCCGTCCGCACTGGACGATGCCATGGCCATGGTGCTGGAAGATTTGAATTTTGCCTGCCATACTGGGGTTGCGGTAAATCTTTTTGGCCAAAGCAGAAGGCTGCGGTTTGTTGCAGTTTCCGTCAAAGGAGATTGGCCGTTCCTCATTGAGGCAGCACATTTGGAGCGCCACTTTCGAAGAGCTCCAAAAAGAGAGAGAAGTGATATGTGCAGCAATTTGGGTGTTTGTCACCTATGCCTGGGAGGCTACCAAGGCATACCATACGAAGATTTTGCAGAGGTGCCTCAATGGGAGCAAACTATGCAGTCCGCAGCTGCAATGGTGCCTTGGCATTCGGAATCACCATGGCATTCGCTGCCCAGCCTTCCTTCTTTCAGACCTTGGACTTTCCGGCCTGATATTTTCCACAATTTTCATCTTGGCCACGGGCGCTATTTCGTGAGCTCTGCACTCGTGGTTCTGGCGGCATTTCAGGAAGGGACTAGTGTTGAAACCCGTTTCCAGTCCTTGTCCCACAGCTGGGTGGCATTCTGCCGCAGAAGAGGTGTACCTTGGATGCATGCATTTTCTCATTATCCTGATTAATCCTTTTTTTTTTTGGCCGTTGGGTTTCTCACATCTTTTTTCTTGCAGCCTAAGACTCGGCAGATAGGAGCGGCCCTATTTGCTGAAACTCTCTCGTGAGTCGGTGGGCTTCATGGCGGCCCTTGACTGGCCGGAGGGGAAGTGGCAGAAGGGTGCAACGACAACACTGCTGATGGAGTCTTGGCTGCAGTGGCCCAAGATCCCAAATCTTGCTCATACTGTATTCATACTCATAAAAAGCACCTAAGGAATGGCTCGAGGATTGGCTCACTGACGACATGGTTGCTGAGCTTTCACAGCAAGACCGCAGGGTTGCTTTCATTGCGCTAGGTGTGCAGCTTGTCGGCATGGTTGGTCACACTGTTGCAGTGCTGTCTTGGTGCCATGTTGCATGTTCACTTACACAATCGTTTTCTTGCAAGGCAAAGCATGAATGCGGCCTTGCGGCTGCTGTACAGAGGGGGCGCCTGGCTTGCAGCAGCTGACAGCGCTTCCATTGCCTTTTTTGGGCTTGAGCATCTAAGGGCATACAAGAAGCTTGCCCAGCTGAGCATAGATGCTCGAGAGCCCAGGTTTCCGATCCACTGCAAGGCTCACATGCTGAATCACACCTTCAGGTTTCTGGAGCTGTGGGCCCAGCAGGTGGAATGGGTTGAAAACCCACTCGCTGATAGCTGTCAAATCGACGAAAGCTTCGTCGGTGTAATCAGCCGATTCAGCCGGCGCGTGTCACCTCGCATGACCATCCTTCGCACGTATGATCTCTATGTGACAGCGTTGAGAGATCGCGTGCACCAGGGTCATGACGATGCAAGCGTGTTGGAGTGAAAAAAATGTCATCCTGCTGTTTGAATCAGGGGGATCACAAATAACCTCAAAAACACGAAAGGTGTGAGAATTTCAAGCTAGTGTGAGAATTTTGGGTTACACCCGGAGAAATGTAGGAATTTGAAAAATGTTCGCTTTTTTTTTTGGAGTTGAGATTCCTACGTCTCGGGCTTCGATGGTATATATGTATATCATTATTTATTTATACCTCGCTGGGTATATTCCCACATATTCCCACTCTGATTTCCCATTCTATCCCCTTTATCCCCATCTATCCATCTCTATCCCATACCCAGGATTTTTTTTCGCGGCACCGGCCACGGAGGGAACCACCAAGGCATTGGTGGTGGCACGACCTCATGATCCGAACCTGGGCAACATGGGGGAATGAAATATTAGGATCATGTTAAATACTTAACAGTTAACAACTAATCCTAATATTATGATTACAGGGATGGGATTAATAGGATTTAACAAACCATAGGATTATTAGGGGATGGGATTAGTTTGTGAAAAATAGGATGAAAAAACGGGTCCGTGTATGCTATTTCGATGGCATCAACGCGATTAGGTGATTGGATAGACCATGACAGGAATGGCCCCTCATTCTTAGTTACATGGTTATAGTTGGAACATCTTACAGAATTCAGGTTAAAATGCCATCAACATCCATCAACATATGTACTGGCAAGTGGAAGTGGCCCATCCTGCAGCATATTGCAGCTATGAAATCTTCGCGTCAAAGGTGAGGCCATGAAAAATATCAGCAGCTTGGAACCCTGAAGAAAGTACCGTGGAACAAACTGCACCGAACAACATCATGTGAAACCGTATCCTCAACACACCTGTGCATATATGGCATATGCACATTCAGAATTCACATTGCATACATTGGCAACATGAATGTCAATACTCATACATCGAACCACACATGATAATGAACACTATATAAAATATATATAATTAGTGTAGTTCATAGCAGGAAGTGAAATACCAAATGTACCGAACCAATCCACATCACACATCCAACGGCAGTATTCTCCAAGCCTCGAGGAGAACTGTTCTGTGACTCATCTCCGCTTAGCATCTCCGAGAATGAAGCGACGGTACTGGCCTGGCCAGGATCGGGAAAGCAGAAAAAAATCGCTTCCCCACGGCGATGCCATCAGGTGCAACCACAAACAAAAACATCCAAAAACACCATAAATGGGTGGTATAAGCCATCAAACATGGGGTGGTTTAATATTGTTTTACCCGCATTAGAGATGTTTTTTCCGGTTGAGCATGACCATTTTGGAGCATGAACTTGGGATTTGCATCAACCAAACAGCCCCAAACTTCGTGATGCTGAACATGGTGGAATTTCTTTTCCTACCAATGCATGCATCTAATTTATCCCTGTGTCTGTGCAACAATGCACGTTTCATGACTGTATATTTTTTCACGATCACTAAAACATGACCGTTATAATTTGTAGTTAGAATATAGATCGGGCAGGTTACAGTAAGAACATGTAAAAACACATAAAAACACTAAGTCGTGTTGTTTTATAACATCTACCACCACACAACGCGGCCGTCGGGTGATGTCAGACTTGAAGGTGTGAGACTTTGCCGTCCCAGCAGTAATGATGACCGATTGGGAAAAACCAAGGTCGGCTTGGTACCACATTTTTATCGTTCTGTAATCAAGCATGCCAATGGGGCATCCCCCGTAAATAAAGTCTTACTGGGAAAACTATTTATAGATGAGGCCACGTTTGATTCCCAACGGATAACCCTTGGTTGTTCAATGAGCACCCACCACTCCAGTAATCACCGTTCAACTTTTCAGAGGAATGATTGTTCAAGACCATGACCACTCTATTGGCATTCATTAACCTTTCAGACAACGATGAGGGAACGATAGCAGCTTCCTGTCACATGCACCTCTGACCAGCAGCGGTTCTTGGCAGAATCGCGTGGTAGCTCAGGGACCACACCACCTGTCATGATGAAGCCACCCCCCGGGGATGCTGATGATTTTTCAGAGTACGCCATAGAGCATCTGCTGCAAGATTTTTTATTCGCTCTGGACTTCCCTTATATTGGATGATAATTGGGTGATGCTTGGATATATAATTGGATGATAATCATACTTGAAAGATCTCGATATAAATATGAATACTACATATATGATCTATATGAAGCCTATATCATAATACATATGTATATACATATCTATAGACATCTTCCTCCCACCTGGCCTAGCGAGGCAATGACTTTGCCTTGGCTCCAGCACCATAGTTTGTAGCAACCACCAAAAAGATGCCGAAATTCTGGAAACCTTGAAAATATCTGGAAAACATAATCTATATTCTATATACCATCCTGGTGGCACACTTTTCGGCATCTTTCTGGGATTCTAAAAAGGGGAGGGTTCAAGAATAGTTTTAAATTGGGCATGACAAGAATTTGCGGATCCCAAAACAAAGTGATGGAACAATGTTGAAGAACGGAATCGTGTTGAAAAACAACCAAAAACAAGGATAGCCGAGATATGCGGTCCTTACCGAAGGAAGTTTAGAAGTCAAACTTCCAACAATATGGACACATGGAAAAGCAGATGTGGGAAGAGAAAGAGAAGAGAAGAGAAGAGAAGAAAGAAGCTCAGAGAAGATAAAGAGTCAGAAGAAAGACGATGTAGGTGCGCGAAAAGGTAGAAGATGGTTTGTGGCTCCGGAGGGTCGAACAGTAGGCTGGCTAAAGCGGCGGGTGCGGAGCCATCTGGGGAGATGAGAGATGAAGAATTGCACGCCGTGGTCTGGCGCATAGCACATTTGGAAGTCAAAATGTACAAAAGTTGAGATGTTCAAAAGTGCACGCCGTTGTGGCGCGAAGCTCATTTCCAAGTCAAAATGTTAAAAAACACCGCAAATATTGGAGCACTTTTGGAAGTTGAGATGTCGAAAAAGTGCACGCCGCTGTGGAAATGTACAAAGCATCCCAGGTGTTAAAAAATTGTGTGCCGTTGTGGTGTGAAGCATATTTCGAAGTCAAAAGTGTTAAAAACTGACGGGTTCGGAGCACTTTTTGTTTGAGATGTTGAAAAATTGCACCCCGTTGTGGCGCAAAGCACATAACGAAGTCAAAATGTTGAAAGCACACCACATTCGTACCACTTTTCGACGTTCACAGCACGACAACAACAACTACAGCTACAACTACAACTACCACTACACTACACTACGTTACACTCAACTACAACTACAACTGCACTACACCACACCACATCCAGCAGTTGTAGGTAAGGTGACCACTGCAACCATTGCAACCACTCTCAAAAACACAGCTCCAACCACCTGTCGGTCCATCAGTGGATTCGCTCTGCCATCCGGGATTCACAACAACCAACCTCTCCTATAGGTTTCCTATTTTTGAAACTTCCGCCACCACCTTGTGCGGTGCTACTGGTATTGGATGGGCATTTTGACCCATGTAGCTGTGCCCCTGTTGTTATTTCCGAAGTTGTGTTTGTATTGTAAGGCATGTCATATGACCGCCTTGAAACAGTCATGACCACCTGCTGTACCCACCAGGCCAAATTTGTGCGTCTGTCTCAATCAGGCTCTATGCCTCTATGGCTACAACAGTCATGAAGGGTCTTCCCGCGAAGGTTTGGCAACTGCAGGGGAGGTCAGGAAAAACAGTTCGATACACAGCCACTCCACCCTGTTGCATGCATGGGAGGAAGAACGCACAGGACCTACACTGGTAGGCTGCTACAAAGTTCTAGATGGGGTAACCTCCCCTGGCTTCACCCAGCAAAGTGACATCCAGTAATCAAGAATGGCAATGAAAAATCCCCATCATGGATGGGAAACAGCGTGAATAAAAATCACAAATGGTAGAGTCTGGTAGAGCTTCGTTCTCCGGGTCAAGGCTAGAGATGCACATATCATGCCATGTCGCAGTAGTGCTCCAAGACGTCTGGGTCTCCGCCGTTGAAAATGCGGCTGCGCAAGTGGAGCGCCTGCTTTTTGGCCTGCAGCATGGATACGACTGGGGGAAGTCAAGTAAGGGGCTTGGAGACAACAAAAAATCTGCGTGTGTCTGAAAATATAGCCATTCCACAAATTGCAACCTAAAGGCAAAAATGATATGCAATATAAGTGAACATGATGATGATGATGATGGTGATGATGATGGTTGATGGTTGTCCCTGAGATTCTGGAATACCACATTTTCACAAGCCCCCTTTTGTATTTTTGGTGGGTTTGACTGTTTGACTGGAATGGAAGGCGAGGCTTCCAAACTGGGACTCATTTGAACTCCAGGAGTTATATATAGTTAACACTTAACACCATGGCCGTATCCTTGCAGGAGCAGTCTCTGCCACCAGCCGTCATAGCCCTACAACTCCCTGGCTGAATGTTGCAATTAAGTGGCAAGGTCGTCCAAATCCACTTGCGGGGGCTGCAAAGTACAGCCAGTCCGGCAATCGTAGTCGTCCTAGGGAAAAACATGTAGTACACGCGGGCCTTCACAATTGGAACATGCTGTTGTGGAAGTGATCCAACGGTCAGCAACGTTTGCAAAGCGAAGAATGGCACAATATTCTTGTGATTGATGTCATTGATGTCTGATCAAGCTTTGAGTGTATAATTAGTATCATGGCGGTGTATTGGTTGCAGTCTCTCCTTTTGCTGTCTTTCGCCATATCAAATACATTTGTGTTTTACCTTGGCCCAATGACCCTGAATCTACGGGGCAGGACTTCCAACATATACTGTATCACCGGAACTGACCTGAGTCTTTCCTGATATTCGGATTCCAGGTGATTCCAGGTGCGCATATTCGAAGTATTCATACGATACACATGTAATTCATATGTAATTTATACATGAATACAATAATATGTATTTATGCATGTAATCATATGTGATTATTAGAAGTATTCAATCATAATTTATAATCATGAATTGATTATCTTGCCGCATCATCTTCAACCAAGAAACTTCA